AACTTAAAATACAGCTTTTAAAAGAATAAGGAGGAAAATCATCTAAGAGTTTAAGTGTCAGTTCCAATGAAAAATTGAAAGGATACGGAACTAGGTGCTTCGTGGATTGGGGCTCCGTTGGTAAAATCCCTTATTTACCCTAATAGCTGTGCAAAGTTTTTTACAGTAGTTGGAAGACAAAAAGCTACCTTTAAGAGCAAACAAGCCACTTTAAAATCCTTAAGAAAGCAAGAGAGCAGTTTATACACTGAACGTTGTCTTAGATATGAAGAAACTTATGTTGAAATTAAAAAAGTTCTTTGCCTTTTGAACAAACTGCCTGCAATGAGCAATTCCTTTGCAAATCTAATAAGGAGACAAACAGGCATTCAAAAAGAAATGACTGCTTTATAGATGGGAAACAAACTTCAAAAAATCTAGCTGTCTTACAAGAGTTGCTTTACCTGAAAGTTCCTTATAAGAAATCAATGCTAAATATTACAGCTGCTAACAACATCAGGAGTTAAAGCTAATGAAGTGAAAATACTAAATACAGTTTGGAGCTGTGCCACTTGTGGCTTTACTAGCTCCTTTAGAAAAATACTTTATATCACCTAATAGCTGTGCAGTATTTGGCGAAGAGCTTTACAGCAGCTAAATACGGTAATTTCACCCTCCCTGTGAAGTGAAGTTTTTCCGTAGAACAAACCAAAAGTACTGCTGTAATAGAAACGTTTGTCTGAATTGAAGCACTTAGGGGAACTATTATGAATTTGGGTGAAGGGACAGCCTCTAGTTAAAAACCGTCTACCGCTGACAGTGCATCTCTGCCGGTCCGGAACGGCTGAGAGAACTGGCAACTTTGGAGTGTGGTGTCATCCTGGCAAGGTTACAGTCCCCTAGCAACAACTATCACAATTCTATAACAACAACACTCACTAAATCCCAGTGCTTTATAACAAAGCTGACTATAAACTCTAAACTTTAGATATGATGTACGTACTTCCTGTCTAGTAAAGAGAATCTTTCTAATAGATATAGTGATAATAATTAAGAACAAGAAATAGAAAAAGATAAATAAGATGTGAGTTTGTAAAAATTCTCTTGTTAGATCTGTGTTAAGAAAGCTTTAGGTGTTTGCTAAATTAGATATATGCTAATAGTAGCCCTATATAAGTTTGTAAAATAGATCTATAGAGTTCCTTTAAGAATATTAGCTTGCAAGAAATATCTAAGGTAGTCTTAAGACATGTAGTAATAAGCTTGTAAGAAGTAAAGATGCTAGTTGTAAATGTAAGTTTAAATAAGAAATAAGATGGAATGAATATAAGTATATAAGTAATAAGAAATATATTTGCTAAAGTAGTTCTAGAGTTTCCTTAAGGAGTATAAATAAGTAGATGTTATGTGAGTTTGTAAAAAAATGTAAATGTTGAATGTGAGTCTAAATGCTTTGCAAGGCAAAAAAAAATGTTATATGTGAGTCTGTAAAAAAGTGTAAATGTTAAGTGTGAGTCTATTAATGTATATGGTGAAAGAACCCGAGACACAGGTTAGTGTCCAGTAGACTGCAAAGTAGGCAGTCTGAATGGTTTCAAAAGGTCCAGAAGCAGCTAAGAAGCTAAGAATGGCGGACGCCAGAACCAGCACAAGGCATCTGCAGCTGAGATCCATGGAAAATCAGTGCAACACAGAAAAACCTGAGCTAATATCAAAAACGGTGTGGTTTAGAATACTACTGTACCTAAAAAAAATAAGTTCAGAGATGCTTGTTTGAACAAAAATTGTTAACTGCAAAAAGTTTTGGTTTAAAAACGTCTCTTCATATTTTGAAGTGAAAGCCTAATACCAGAATTTATTTGTTTGAATTTTTTGAACTTAAAATGAGATAAAACTACAAAAACATTTTGGTTATGGATTTCTTCATATTTGGAAGGCTCGTACCAGAATTTATCATTTGAATTTTGGGACTTAAGAAATGAAATGAACAGTAGAGATTTCATTGCAATGGGACAATTTTGAGTTTACTTATAGTAATGACCTAGGAACTGTTTTCTGGAATTGGGTTAAAAATGGAACTGTTTATGTAAAAATGAAATTACTTACAGAACTGGTTTTGTGTTACAAATGGAACTGTTTAAATGGAAAAGTTTGGGTTTTCTAACTAGGCTTGAGATTTTGCTTAAATTATAAAGAAAAGGGGGAGAGTTAATATTCCTTAGTCTAATTTCAAAAGTTGTTTGAGTGGATTAATGTCATGTTTTTGTTAGTAAGAAATGCAAATGGGGTATACTAAGAGACTACTTTTAAAGTGGAAAGAGTTTTATTAAGAAACTGCTTTTGGATGTTTTGCTAAGTTTTCAAAGTGTTAATGGTTAGATTGAGAAGATTGCTTTTCAATATGGGTTTGTAGGAATTGTATGAGTTTGGGTTCCTCTAACTAGGTTTGAGATTTTGCTTAAAAAATTATAAAGAAAAGGAGGAGTTATGAGGTTGAATTATGTTTGCAGAAATTATATTTACCCTATTGATATTAATGCACCCTGGTTTTGTGGAGTTAAGGAAATATTTAAGTTTGATGTGAATACATTGAAGTTTTTCCTATGTTCTGTTAGCAAGAAAATTCAAATGATTGAGTTAAAGTTGTAAGACGGAGAAAACTGTTAACTATATTTAGCACCATATATGCTAATTCAAATGGTTCTGTTAAGAGTTTGCTTTGAGTTGTAAGATTGAGAGAATTGTGACTATGTATAGCAATATTTATGTTAACCTGTTAATGGTAATGATGAAGCTAAGGGATTCTTTAAGTTTGTAGTTACCTTAAGAGTTTTTGGCTTAGAAAGGGCTTGAGGCAGCTAAAACTGCTGTAGTCACCTTGGACCTAATTCAAAAGAGAAATGCCATCTTTATCATCCTCTACTCCCATACTGGGAGGTGTAACAGCTATGAAGATTGCTGTAAGCCATTAATAGTTATTTTTTTATATATTAAGAAAGGGGGACCTATGGGAGCCCGTTCTCAGGTTCCTCGTGGCTTTACCCAGCAGGTCCGCATAGAGGATGATTAGACCACGGGCCTAAGTGCAGGTGTCTGGGATGGTCTGTACTTGGCTGTGCTGGGGGAGGAGGTCTTTTGCTCCACCCCTTGGTGTCTCTATAAAAACCCTGGGGCAGAGACAGTCAGGGCCTGTTGGAATAGGTTCCAGGCCCTCTCGAGGCTATCCTTTATTTTCTATCTGTTTATCTCCGAGATATTCTCCGCAATAAATCCTTCTATCTAATATTTCCTGCTGCTCGCACTCAAGAAAACTCTGGGGAACTGTGGGGGTGGTGGGTAAACGCCCCCCACACACAAAAGATTCGAAAAGGACCTAAGATAATATAAACTGTTATTAATACAAACGGAGTGTCAATTAGCAGCAGGCTGGGTCGGGACAAGGCAAAATAAACAAGCATGTCTCTTGGGGGCAGCCTCTGAGAGGGTGCCTGCAGAAATATGCATAATGGGGACCCGGTTGTCTGAGCACTCAGTAGTCTCCAACTCTGAACTCATAAATGAAACTCTAAACTTCAACGCTGCTAACTCAGAAGACTTTCTTCTGACCACTTCAAGAACACACCAAGTGGACGACGGAGGGTCAGGCTGCAATCTGCTGGGCATTTGCATAGCACTTAGAATCTATTTTCTCTCTCTCCTACTGACAGCCCCTGGAACCCAGCTCACTCTCCCTGATTTTCTAAGTGAGAAGAAACAACTTGTTCAAGGTTATCCAGCTAGTAGAGGGCTGAATAGCTGGCTGAGGCTCTGCTCCTTCTGCTGCATTGGTTCTGCATTACTGCACCCATTCAGCAAAACCTACTTAAGAAGTTATAGAAAGGTCTGGAAAGATGGCTCAACTATTTAGAACATTTGATGCTCTTGCAGAAACCAGGGTTCAGTTGTCAGCACCCATGGTGGGTGGCTCACAACCACCTGTAACTCCAGCTCCACTGGATCCAACACCATCTTCTGGCCTCCACAGGCACCTGCACACACATGTGCACACACAAAAGCCTTCCTTCTACAGGATCACATTGCACTCATATATGCAGGTGGACAACACAGGTTGTACTATGCCCTACATATTCATGTGGGCCTCCTGCTGCAGCATCAGTAATGAAGATAAGACCTCAGGAAACAGTCCTCGTACAAGATGCTCCCTGCTTCTCTCAGATGCCCGCAGGAACTCCTGTCACAGCCTACACAGTCGCAAACATGATAGCAGCCACAAGGAACTCAACAAGATGACACCTCGGAGGAGCTAGCAATGGATGTGGTAAGGACACAGGTGGGTTGGGGGAGAAAGAACAAGTTGGGACAGTCCCCACGGGGATAAGCAGGAAAAGAGTCCAGGAAGTCAGTCCTGACCCCAGGTGTTGCCCTTCCTTAGTGTGCAAAGTGTAATGCTAAGCTCTACAAAACCTAACATGACTAGACATACTTAGTCCATAAATTTCGGTAATTACCTAGAAGTCAAGAACTTCTGCTTCTCTGGAAACAAGACGACTGGAGACTATGACATCCAGACTCCCCAGAATGCCTTCAGGCTGGGTGGGACAACAGCAGTGCACAAGGAGAAGCTGTCCAGACTGCTGTACTGGCATGCCCTCCTCTTCTTACACTGGACCTGCATCACTCACAGATGGCCACTACCTAATCTCTTCGGATATGTGTCTTATACATATTCTCTCAACTCCCATTCTGTCCCAGAAATAGTGCCTTGAACACATAAAATCTAAGCACCATGAGTTATACAATCCACTCAGCAACACCCAACTGATCAGATCCACTGCTGATGTTGGACTCCAGATTTCCCCAGGTGCACATCTAAAGACTCTAACTAGATTCCTGTGTCTCAGACCACCTTACATATCATCACTTAAGTATAATAAAAACATTATTTTCTTACTTCAGAGAAATATGAATTAACAAAACAAGTACTTCTTATCAAAGTGTGGACACAGCCCAGAGTGACTTACAGAACTTCTGGGAACATCCTGTGCAGGCTTTGTGTATGTCTCAGATAGATCGCCATTCAGAATGACTTCAGCCAGAGAGTTCACCAGTGGGGCATGATGTATAATGAGGAAGACCTGGTGAAAGGGGTAAGATGGGATATGCAATGAGGAGCTCAGTCCTCCACTTTCCTCCTCCCTGATCCAAAACACCCAGGCTAAGGATGGGTCCCATCAAAGAGAAAGTAGCCCCTCAACTCCAGAGGGCTTCTTCTCCCCCCAACCCCCATTGCCTGTTTGGCTAGCTGTTCTTTTTGGGGAGTGCATCAACACCATCGCTGCTCCAGTGGAGCACTGTGGGAAAGGAGCAGCCTGATCAGTACACTCCTCCCTCTCTACGGCACCAGGACTGGTAAGGGGCAGTGATGCTGAGATTCTAACACTGGAGTTGCCCCAAGCCCTGGTGTGGATGTCAGCATGCTGGGTTATAGCAATGTTGTAGGTGGAAGTCACAGGAGCCAGAGGTAGGTCCAGTCAGGCTGGGATGCACAGCAGAAAGCTCTGGTTGTCACCCACTTTGCTGCCTCATGCTCTAAGAGTGGCTTTAGGAATCAGGGTGTTCAAAACTGACCTGTCAAGTTGGCCTAGACACATTCACTACCTTGTTTTAAAATGTAGAAGTGGGCCAGTGAGATGGCTCTGTAAGCCAGGCAACCTGAGTTCAATACCCACAACCTACAGTAGGAGAGAACTGACTGTACAAAGTTGTCCTCTGACCTTCACATGCACACCATGGCACATGTGCTAACCCCTACTTCATGCACATACACACTAATAATAAATTTTTAAAATATAGGCAATAGATGTAGTATAGTGTGTGGTATATCCACCATATACATGGATCCCTGGCAGGTGTACAGATTCTAGCAGACAGATCTCTATCTATAGATAGATCTGTGTCCATGGACATGTCCCTCCCTATGGATAGATTCTTGGCTATGGATGGATTTCTGCCTGTGGATGGATCCCTGCAGGTGGACAGGTCCTTGTGGGTGGTTGCATATAGTGCTCATTTTCCTGGCTCTGACCCAGGAGCATGGTGGGAGGGATCCCCACAGGAGAGATGTAGAGGTTTGCCCAGGCCAGGCTATCTGCACCATATTCTTATGATGGAAGGCAGCTTAGTTTTAGAGGATGGCATCACTTCTTATACTAAATTACTGCCATAGATGTGAGTTTTCATGGTAGCGATGCTGGCAATACTTGTAAGCATGCGTCAATTTTATAGGGATGTAGATGCTTTAAGGACACAGCATTTAAACTGGACTTTTCACACATTTAGGCCACATTATAATTAAGCTAAATGACAGTGTAGGGGAGGAAGGAAGAAGGGCTAAAGGTTTTTCCTTTCTTTTTTTTTTTTTTTTTTTTGAGACACGGTTTTACTGTGTAGTACTAACTGTCCTAGAACTGACTATGTAGACCAGGCTGGCCACAAATTCACAAGATCTGCCTGCATCTTGAGTGCTGGAATTAAAGTCATGAGCCACCACACCCAACGAAGGCTCAAGACTTTTAATTTAATTTTTGTCTTACATTGTTTATTTTTGTGTGTATGTGTGTGCCCATGTGAGTATCATGGCACGTATGTGGACATCAGAGAACAGGTAGATGGAGGAGGTTCTCTTACTCTACCTTGTAGGTTTCAGGTATCAGCTTGGGTGTCAGACTTGTCCTCAAGCACTTTACCTGCTGAGTCATTTTGCTAGCCCGAGAGTCTGAGCTTAGAAGAGATCTTTTTAAGGGCTATGAGTCTTAGGAACAATGAATTGAAGTTGTGTTCTGAGAGAGAGTGAAAGATCAAATGATGAGTAGCCTGGGCCATCAACCCTTCTCTAAGACACTAAGAGATGCTTCTCAAAGAAGAAGCTGAAAGAGTAGCCCAAGAGCTGGTGACCATGCTCCTCAAAGGGAAACCTGCCTATGTGATGCTCCAACAGCTGATGAGTCGTGAGAATGAGTTTCTTGGTTAGACTCCTGTAGCTGAGCAACTGACCTGTTTGGGTCCTGCCAGACTCCCAGAATTCCCAGCAGGAGATGCCGACAGGCTTGCAGTGAGTCAGCACAAAGGTCTGCCAGGAGAAGTTGCCTTGTGCTGAGGTTGGTGGCACAGAGGGGCCTGAGACAGAGCAGGCTTCAGGCAGAGTTCTGAGCAAACAGGGCCTCCAGAACAAGGCTCCAGGATACAAGCAGTGGTCAGGCTACATCTGGACCCAATCGACCTCCCCACTGTGGGAAGATGGTAACTGGACCTCTTCTCACTTGAGCAGGTGCCAGCATCACCCCAAACTTGAAACAGTGGGGATCCAAGTAAAAGGAAATCTCACTAAAGGGTATCAACCCTGGTACCATGGCAGACATGGAAACAGAGCTCTAAGCAAACATCTGGCTACATGACAGCCGGGTGAAGTGGCCCACGAATCTGGACTGCTAGAAATAAAAATATTTCTGAAGTTATGTAACTGGGTCACCATGGAGTTTTCCCCCTTCTTGTAAATATTATGTAATTACAAGACGTGAAGGAAGAAACAGTTGTTTAAGGAGGGAGGCAGGCAAACCGACTTGAGACTCCAATCTCAGGCTACAGCTGCTCTAAGATCCCTTCAGACGGTGCTCTGGAACCAGAACCACTACAGACCCTCTGCAGACAGCCCTGGCAAGGCTGTGTGCTAGACCACAGCTGTGAGTGTGCATCTGTCCAGCAACCGGGGCTCATTTCAAAGCACTGTGAACAAAAGCCACACGAGCCCACATCTCCAGGGTATGGAGAGCACGAGTCAATTGTTTGGGAAGCCTCATCTAGAAGTCAACAGCACGGATGCCAGGCATCAGTTCCCTTTCCTTTCCACCTTCTATCATGAAGTTGAGTCCTACTCGCTGTATGGAAAACACAACACCCATTCTCTGTGTTGGGACTTTATTTCAAGATGGGGGCCACAGAGCTAAATAAGCACCCTGGATACACCACAGGACCCCATATGTGTAGGAGACACTGGAGACAGAACAAACATACCTGGGAGAGAAGATACAGGGACACTGGAAGGCTGATTTTGGGGCGTTCTCCTCCCTAGTGAAGGACAGAGAAAAAGAGGTGGCTCGGGTCACCAAAGGCACACACAAAACACAGAAGACCCCAGTCCCCAGTTCAAACGAGAAGCGCAACCCCTTCCCCACTGCACTAGTCAAGAGCCTGCTCTGGAGTAGACAAGTTCAGCTTGATCCCAATCCACACAGAGGTTAGCCTTTCCCCTAAGAATCCTGCACCATAGCCCTGGCTTGGCAGCTGACCCAGTGCAGGAGCTTACTTCCAGAGTTACAGAATGCTCGTTCCCCAGCTGGGCACTGAGGGCCCCAGGCCTATTTCAGGAAGAGGCCTTCACAACATGGGGCCCTCTGGCCTCAAAAAAACAAAACAAATATACAACGACAAAGCCAGCTCCTTGTTTGCCCTCAGCTTCAAATGGCCATGTCAGACCAGTCCTGGGGGGGGGGGGGTCTTCAGGACCCTGGTTTCGTGTCCCATCCAAGGAAAGAAGTAGAAATGACTCCAATCTCAGGTCTCAGTGATTCTCTCTTCGAGCTGCTCCAGTGCGAGTCAGAGTTGCGACTTCCCTGTGCTGTATTACTCATTAATTGGAAGAATGCCCATGCTCTAGGTCCAAAAAGGTGCCATGCCCTTGGGACACATCTAATGAGGTCCCTTGCAGGGAGACAGCTGGCAGTTCTGCTCCTTATAAGGCCTCTGATGGGTACGCCTGTGTTCTCTCGCCCCTCTCACTCCAACCTTACCTCTGAAGGGACAACTGAGGCCTCTCCCCCTAAAGCAGCTTTTCTCTTGGGGATCCCGGAACCAGTCACTCATGGCATCACCGAGAGATGGGTTACACATGCAGATTCCCTGTCCTAACCTATGCGCACTGAACCAGAACCCCTGAGGGCAGATGGTATCCTAGGAAATTGCCATCCCCTACCCCATCCCCGATCCCTGTGGAGGACTCAGGCTGACGATTTGTGTTTTATTAGGGGACCTTTCCTTGAGCATGCTCCAGCACTTCCTATGTATTTCCCATGAAGGTTCTAGTGCTGCCTGGTAATTGTCTGAGAATAAGCTCTAGTGAGCACCAGAGAAAGTTGGGGTGATGGCAGCACCTCAGAGAAGGGCTCACCAGAGTGCAGAGGCTGATTCTAGGGTCTCTCACTTCCCTGATACCAGGGATCTTACATTTCTTGGTCACTTTCTCATCAAGAAGGGAGGACCAGTTTGGGGGGGGGGGGGGCTCTGAAAGGCCTTTCCCTGGGGTCTGAGGCTTTGCTACCGACTCCCTACAAAAGCTGCTCCAGCCGAAGGCAGCACTGTCCCTCTTGGAAGACACCTGCAGGAGGCAATGGGCCAGCTGCAGACTCACCTTGTCCGGGTTCTCCAGTGAGTATACATAGAGTGGCAGGAAGAGCCTGTTGAGCAGATGGTCTGTGAGCACATCATTGAGGAACTCACAGTTGATGATCAGGATGTCATTGAGATAGTGTAGGTGGTCCAGGTGCTCAGCCACCAGGTCACTCAGTTTCCCCCGATTCCGATGCCTGTGAGAGAAATGTTCCTCTCAGCCCAGAGGCCAAGGTTTGGGGCCTTCAGCTTAAACATTCACTCGCACACCCATTTAGGTAAGCTAGTCAATCAGGTGAGCTAGTGTAGCTACTGCCCCTGATGGGAAGACAGACAAAAGAATAATACACAGGACCACTGAAAAACATTTTATAACTCCTGGGGCTCTTTTCCCCCATGGCCTTAGCACAGGCACCCCACAACTACAGCTTCAAACAAGTGGGGATAAGCTAAGCAAAGAAAAACAGTGATGCCCTTGTAGGAAGTCATTGCACAACGTAGTAAGATTTCTCAGATCCACAGATGAGCAGTACTAAGGGAGCCAGACATCCCGCCAAGCCAAGTGCTCCAGAGGCAAAAACTGTAGACAAAGAAGGCCTTACTCTGCAGCTCCAGTCACCACATAGCAGAGACACAGAACAAAGACACACACTCCTCCTCAAGTCCACGCTGGTGGCTTCTGTGATCCTGCAGCAAGCAACAGCCGTGCTGCCCATGTTTTCAGGGTGCAGTCAAAGGACAGAGTCAAAGCAGCCAGAAACAGACTTTACCACCTCCAAGCAGAAGGTGGGCAAAGAGCAGTCAGCCGGGAAGTAGGGCATTGTGTTTGTATCAGCATTACTACTACCCAAGTTACAGACGGCCATTTCAGAAGACAGGAGACTTGGAGGATAAAAGCCAGAGGAAAGAAAGGTTCCAATGGGGTCACCACTAATGAACACCCCACTATTGACATTTGGGACTTACCACCTGACAGCTTGGTTTGCATGTTTTTCTCCCCCACCCCCAGTCAATCTAAAATGTGCTTAATATCCTAGAAGTAATATGTATCAGGCAGGGAAGTTATAGCAGGCTCAGATTTGCTTTCACATAATTTAGGGCAGTTTTTCCATACTATAAACACTTTCCCTAGATACTGATAGGAAATCCACATTGCAAAGCCCAAATATAATGAGAATCTATGAACCATCCCACCAGAGACCCAGAACACACACACACACACACACACACACACACACACACACACACACACACACACAAAATGTTCCATACTCCACCCTTAAGATACCATCAAAAACTGGCTTTAGTGGGCTTTACCATACCTCACTTTTTGATGTTTTCCTTTAGAACTTTACTGAAGTAATATGAATGGGTGGGTTTAACAGCCTTGGTCAGATCTGACCCAGCAGCTCCCCAACCCAGAGAAGGAAGTGTGTGTATGATACTAGGGACTAAGTCTGGGGCCTCATGTGTGTTAGGCACATGTTCTACCACTGAGTTACATCCCTAGCCCTCTTTTTACCTTATTTTGAGATAGAGTCTTACTCAGTTGCCCAGGCTGGTGGCCTTGAACCCACTATGTAGCCAAGACAGGCCTTGACTTTTGATCTTCCTGCTTAAGCCTCCTGAGTATCTGAGCTACCAGGCCCAGCTGAGGAAATCTCAATCCCTGGTTCTTCCTGCAGGCAGTCCCGCCCACCTTCTGTGAAACCTGCACTGACTTCCACTCTGTTCCTGACCCTTTTTAGATGCCGCCCACTGAGATCCCCTCGCCACAGAACTGACTCCCTGCTGTCCCCCACAGCAGTCACTGAGTAACTAGAGCTGACATTATCATACTGGTCCCTGAAGATCTACAGACTACAAGTTCACGTCCTTCCCTAAAGCACATCGTTCCTTCTGGAGGACAGTGCCTCGGTTCACATCTGAGGCTGTGATCCACACGGGTTCTCGGTTTCCAGAAAGCTCCATCAGCCCCACCATTTCTGTAGCCTTGCTTCTTTCCCAGGGTTAACTGCACATGCTGCCTAGCTCCTTGTCTAGGAGAGTTCCTCTCTGGATCCCTCCAAGTAGACCTTTTACAAGGCTAGGTGAAGCCTTTATTTGGGGCGGTGGTTCTCAGCTGAGGGTGAAGTAATGTCAGGAGGCATTTTTAGTGGTCCTGACTGGAGAGGTGCCATTAGCCACTAACAGACAGAAGAGGCCATGCAGGCTGCTGAACATTCTGCAAGGCAAAGAGGGAACTACAGCCATGAAGTGCCCAGTTCAGACAGTCAATAGTACTAAGAGAGAAGAGCCCAATGTGGAACTTCAAGTCATCACTCTGAGGACAAAATCACCACTACCATCTTAAACTATTTTTAAAACTTTTTCTTGAGATATGATTCACTTACAATAAAACTCACTTGTTTCACATACATAATTTAATGGGTTTTTAACATTTTTGTTTGTTCTTAGAGTGCTAGAAATTGAACTCAAGGCCTAGCAAGTTTTCTACAAGACCCCATGTATGCTCATCATACCTGACTTGAGAACAGTTTTAATCTCATCTGCCAAAAGCTCTGTACTCATCAGGAATGGCTTTCTGTCCCTTCCTCAGAAACACTTCCCTCATCCTGTACCCCAGCCCTAGGAAACCACAGTCTACTCTGCCTTTAGATTTGCCTCTTCTGGGCATTTCAGTGAAATCACAGGCTGTGTGTCTGCTCCCTTCACTCAGGGCAATGTTTTTGAGGTTTATCCATAGCATAGCAATGTGTCAGCACTTCGGACATTAATGGTTAAATACTATTCCACTGCATGGACAGACCACATTTTGACCATTTTGTGTCTGTATGGAGGGAGGATAGCGTATATGTGCATGTATTTGTGTGTAGATACACATGTGTGTGCAGGCTTGGAAGTTAAGGACAACATCAGGTGTCATACCTTGGACACTGATACCTTTATGTAAGACAGGGTATCTCACTGGTCTGGAACTCACCAAGTAGGTTAGCTGGCCAAAAAGCTTCCAGGGACTTACCTGCCTCTGCCATTGTACCCAGCATTCTCATGTGGGTTCTATGGTCTATGGGTTCTCTCAGGTCTATGAGGCCAGTGCTTTAGCAAGTGAACCATCTGCCCCTGCTGTGGGATGTTCTGTATGGCAAATGTGTTGCTCTGATTGGTCAATAAATAAATCACTGATTGGCCAGTGGCTAGGCAGGAAGTATAGGTGGGACTAACAGAGAGGAGAAAAGAAAGAACAGGAAGGCAGAAGGGGTCACTGCCAGCCGCCACGATGACAAACAGCATGTGAAGATGCCGGTAAGCCACGAGCTACGTGGCAAGGTATAGATTTATAGAAATGGATTAATCTAAGATATAAGAACAGTTAGCAAGAAGCCTGCCACGGTCATACAGTTTGTAAGCAATATAAGTCTCTGTGTTTACTTGGTTGGGTCTGAGCAGTTGTGGGACTGGCGGGTGACAGAGATTTGTCCTGACTGTGGGCCAGGCAGGAAAACTCTAGCTACATGCCCCGCTCGACATTTTGGTGATTCGCACATCCTCATCTGATGAGCAGCCAAGCAGCCCCAGCTAGGGAGGTATTACCCTCAGTCAGCACCCATCTAGAGGCACGTGGAAAAAGTCCACATTCCCACTGTCCTAAACATGTGGGCAGAACCTTTTATAGTCTGGGTCAGTGCTGCTCTGCTCTCCATTTCTCCTGGTGGACACAGAATGCTCCCTTCACCACCCTGTCCGATGAGACCAGTGGAGCATTACTTACTCCTCATCTGTCTGCACACAGTTGTCAAGTTCGATCACGTGGCTCCCAATGAACCAGACCAAATTGGAGAAGTACGGGACAGCAGTTTTGTCTCTGATGTAGTGCAGCATGGCCTGGTTATCCACTGAGAAGATTTACAGAAGAAGAAACAGTGAGCTACACCAAAATAACTCAAGGACAGTCTTACAAAACAAAACACCCAAACAACCAAAACCCACCATGAAAAAGCCTTGCTACCATCTGAGACTCTGTCTTTCCTGGAAACACTTGGAAATGTTTATTTTATTCATCAGACAAAGCAGTGCTGGTACTATTCTCAGTTAGCACACTCGATTGCTATTGCTATCATTGCAGGAGTCACTGGAGAGGCAATGGGCAAGACCTGACTACACTGGGGTGCAGCACTCTCAAGCAAGGCTCCTGGGTTTACTTGCAAGGCAAATTCAGAAAGAGGAAAACCAGAGGTTAATAACTTACATGACACTGGAATAAGGAACAGGAATCGGCATTGGAGGAAAGGCAAAAACAGACAACAGTTAACAGGGTTAGGAACTGGGAAGGTGAGACAGCAGCCCAAAGGACAGAGCCTAGGCGGGAGCCGTCTAAACCAGAAGACACAGTTAGAGGAGAGCACGAGAAAACAGAGCATAAGCAGTGGAACCAGCTGTGCATGAGCAAGGTCGCAAACTCACAAGTCTGCCAGGTCAGCGGCTGCACAGTGAGTGAAGACGGAAGGCTGGGAGTGCAGACTGGGGCATCAGACCAGCCCAGAAAGGAGCAGTTGCTTCTCAGCCTTTGACCACTTCCCCATGGGAGTGTGAGCCCAGAACAGCCAAATGCTCAGCTTCAGGTCAGAAATGCACACTGTGCAAAAGCTCCAAATTTTGAAATATGTGCAATTATATATATATATATATATATATATATATATATATAATTATATATACTTCTTGTTGTTATTGAGACAAGGCCTCTCTATGAAGCCCTGGCTAGTCTGCATATTTTTTTCCAAGTCCACCTGAGCCATCTAAAATGTGTCTGAGGGCTGGTGTGGGTCACAGACTCTCAGTTTGCGACTGCTGGCTGGACCCAATTAGGCTCTGAGAAAGGCTCTTAAATTTAAAGTAATCCCAGGACCGGCCTCCCCTGGTCCCCGACTGAGCATCTCAAGTAACACAAGTCAAAGCCCTTGAATGGCCAAGAAATAGGGGCTCAGCTCCACTGTGGTTACCAGAGGGAAATTAATTAGGCTTTAGGTATTGTCTTAGAGGGGCAGTTCCAGCTCCAAAAACCTTCAGCCAGCCTGTATGGCAGCACAAGCGGGCTCCTGGAAAGGCTCCCTGCCATAGACAGTATGGAGCATTTAGTACATCCTGAGAGGAAGGAGGAATCTGTTAGCACTGGCCTTGGTGGCTGGCTGGGAATGCAATACTGCCCCCTGCTGCTTGTGATGTGAAATGCTCTCATGCTTATTTTAAGATAAAATGTAAAACAGTGTGATACAGTATATTTTATAAGCCAAAACACAAAAATTGAAAGCAAAAAAATTTCAAGACAGTTTTGCTTCATCCAACTACTCCATGGCCACTCCAAATCCCACACAGACTTCTCGGGATATCCTGTGTGGCAGCAGCAGGTGCAATACTAGAACATGCAGTACAAAGACTTCCATAAGGAACAGTGATATGCCTGCAAGTCCACTGTGAGACAAGCAGCCATGGCTCTCTTGACTCAGGAACTGTGCTCAGGTGCACAGGAACCAGCACTTGGCCCAGCACTTGAGGCCTGAGTGCATGAGGAAACTTACCTTTGTAGACGTTCAAGGTAATGGTTCTCACAGCAATTCGGACCATGCTCTCGGGGTGATTGAAGAACTTGATGGCTTCTGTGTACAGGGCAAAGTCATTGGTGTGCTAAAACAGAAAATGGACCCAAAAGTTACAAATCCACAAGACAGGTCTGCTCCCAAACCTTTTTGAAATTTGTCAGATTGTGATAAAAGAAAAATAAAATGATGTCACCATGATGGCAGGTGAGGAAGCCAGGGGAGAGAAAAGAGTCCACAGAATGTCACATAGTCTCCTGATCCGGCCTATCACCTTTAGCTGTGTGAGGAGGTATTTCCAAGCCCATTTCTTCATCTACAAACCAGGGGAAACAGCACCCACTTTCTAGCCTCTAGGATAAAATGAGGTCATTTCTGGTCCAGTGCGCAGCCCAGCACTTGACACCTACAGAGCACAGAACACAGTGCTAGGAATGTCAGACCCTGCTTAAATAAAGACCACGTTGGACTAAGTTCAGCAATTTGGCTGCTCTACCGTTCTCCATTTGGAAATACTAAAAGTGGAGCGGCATCAGGGAGGCAGAGGTTTTCGGGAGCCTCCCTCCTGCTGTTAAAATGGGACAAAGAGCCGGGCGGTGGTGGCGCACGCCTTTAATCCCAGCACTCAGGAGGCAGAGTCAGGCGGATCTCTGTGAGTTCGAGGCCAGCCTGGGCTACCAAGTGAGTTCCAGGAAAAGGCGCAAAGCTACACAGAGAAACCCTGTCTCGAGAAAAAAAAAAAAAAAAAAAAAAAAAAAAAAAAAAAAAAAATGGGACAAAGAACCAGTGAAACGGTTCACAAAAAGGATGCCTTAGCCTCAGAAGACGACAGCGCAGAGCGACCTGGCGGTGTGCCTCGCTGCCCTCCTGCGGCCACTGTCTCCACACAGTTCAGGGACCCACCAGCTCAGCAGTGGCTCAGGGGAGGCATGCTGGTGGAGATCCTCCAAGCCAGCCCTTGCTGGAATGGAGCTGGAGGCTCAAAGCAACAACTGTCTTATAAGGGCAATGCCATTTTGAGGACTGGCATTCGAGTATGAACCTAAAAAGTGGCAACTACTATCCTAGCTCAGACAGAAGAGGAAACTAAACCCCCCTTTTACAAACACACACAAGGCTCCTGGGATGACCAGTTCTTCCAGAGCCATGGCTTCTGCTCTCCCACCACTGCTCAGGGGACACCTGAGCCAAAAACAGGCTTTGGGCATGTGTGACAACCACTCAGGAGGTGGCTGTGTGACAGTCAGCCTCCAAGGCGGCCCCCAAACATGTCCACCACCTGTGTCAGGTTCATGCTGTGCCCACCCACAGAGAAGTAGATCAGGCCTGTGTGACCAAAGAGTGGCAGGAGGAAGGGTGTGCCTTGTGAGGCTGGCCACAGAAAACAGCACTGTTTGCTGTGGTCTGTTGAGTTACTTGCTCTAAGCAAGCTGACTGTAAGGACATTTGGACAGCCCTGGGAAGAGGCCCCTAAAAGAGCTGTGGCCTCCCATGTACAGCCAGCACCAATTAACTACCCTGACAATAAAGTAGATCCTCCAACCCCATTGCAGACTCCGGGCTATCAGCTTCCTAGGACACTGTAAAACAGTGCTACGAGCCTATCCTAAAGCCCAGGCACACTGAGAAGAATGTGATGTGATTCTGATCAGTGAGACCCAGGAAGAAATCTGGGAGAGACTTCTGAGGAAGTGTTCTCAAAAGGGGTACAAGGAAGGAAGTGATATTAGAAATTCTGACAGTAGCATGTGACTATGTGATGTCAGGAGTTGCAGCAGCCACCCATGGCCATATGGGACTGAGTCTGAACAGATGCTTGCTGCAGTTACTGAGCAGGAGATTGGGAAAGCTGGGCCCCTAGTACAGTGAGCTGGTATGAACGGACCCAGCACAGCTGGTGTTTGTACTTTTAAGTACATGAGCTCAACTGACCTTATTCTCAAGCTCCTTGGAGCTATTAGTGTAGAAGTGATGAATTTACCTAAGTTGTTAATAGCTCTCCCAAGGAATGTGAAGGACACAGGCCTCCAAGGACAGCAAGTGTATCGCTTCACACAACTCTAAAGATACCATTTCATTTAGTCCAATCCCTGAAACCCATTCCAGCTATATAGTTTCACCTCGTTTCTCAAAAGAGGGGGCTCAGAGAGGCCTGGAATTCTCTAGGTCACGCAGCAAGGAGTAGGAAAACCATGCCTAAATAAAGTTTCTGCTGTTTTCAACAGGATAACCTCTGGATAGTTCCCCTCCCTGACAAGTGAACTGAATTTTATACTGAAAATAGAAAGGTAATTTGTTCAATTAAAAACAAAAGTGTGTGGAGCTCAGCAGTTAAGAGCCTACTTGACAATCTTGAGGACCAGAGTTCCAGTCCCAGCACCATGCAGCAAGCCCGACATGGTCTTCTCACATGTGCCTGTAACCCCACCACTGAGACAGGCAGTGAGAGGAGGCTCACTGGGCTTGCTGGCTGCCAGCCTACCTGAAGACACAAGCTCCAGATTCAGGAAGAGATCCAAAGGAACAGGCAGAGAACGACAGAGGACTTTCAGAGTCCTCACCTGGCCTCCATGCACCCAGAACACACATCTACATTCTTCACACACACATGCACACACAAACATGCATTTCAAAACAAAAAATTATTTTCAAGTATGCTAAAGCCTGTGCTGTGGAAAGTGCTCTGTAGACAAACTCCTGACCACGCAGAGCAAAGGCTACTCTGCTGGGGTCACACTCACCTCATTGTAGAAGAAATGGACAGTGTGGTTGTTGAGCTTTAATGACAGTGTTTTCAGGAACGATATGTAATATGCCATGATCTCCTCGTCGGAAAAGTCAAACTTATGGACAATGATCGAATTTACATAGTTATTAGACAGCAAATAATCTAGGAGAGAGAACACAGAGTGAAAGAGGTGAGCTTGTGCTAGAGGAAAACGCCAGCAAAGGCTGTTGGGTAATAAGCACAGGAACTCAACCAGCTGAGCACAAGGGGCAGCTTAACCTTTACCCCGCAAAGAAATCATGTACTAGGCAGGACCACCTGCAAGCACACAGGTCCTGCCAGGGAGGAGCCTGTGGCTTCCTCTGTGAACCAAAAGGGACAAACCCATGTATGTTTTCTGCTCATTGCTAGCAAAGTTCAGTGTGAAGCTGAGGGCAGGAAGGACAGGCATGGGGTGACTGTCACAAGTCACCTGCAAATAAGGGTAAAAGGCACCTCATTTTAATAAGGAGCTGCCCTATATGGCCATCAAAAGACATTGTCATGCCTGAAAGTCAGGAAGGGCTGCATGTGTCTTCAATCTGTCTATCTAGTGACAATTTCATAAGATCACTACATCCCTATCATGTGTCCAGGGCCAGGTAAACCACCTCAGATCCTAATTCCCCAATGTTCACCTGGTGGTTCTATGGGGAGCACCTTGACTGAAGACCTTCCACCTCTGTTGGGAAGGCTGGCTTTGTCAACAGAGCATGTACTTAGGAAGGGATACACCCAAGGTGGTGAAGGTGTCGATGCTATCACCACTTACCCAGCCAGCAAGATCAGCCAAACCAACCTTAGTGAGCACTGTGCTGTGAGACAGTGTAGTCAGACTGACCTCATGTCCCTGATAGTGACAGTTCCTGAGGCAGCTCTTAGGGCCAGCTCCGAGAGAGGCCAGGAGGGTGGGGTGGGATCCTAAAAACCTTAACACATTGTAAAATGAGTCATGGTCACAAGTGCTATGTATGGGTAAGTCTGCTGTATGTGGAAATGGAACTCTATATAACCTCAAGTTCCTGCGCACGGGCATTTAACACAGAAGCACGTGAATCTCAGGTGTCTGGCTTGAGGGGTATTATACAGATGAATGCTTTGGAGGACCCACTCCGGTAAGACCCAGTCCATTTGCAGTTCCTCAGGAAGCTCTTTCATAGCCCTGCCCTGTCAGCATCTCCTCTCAAGGCAGGACCCACTCTAAAACCCCATCTCTATAGACTTGTGTACCTGTCTGTGAACCTTACTCAGAGGAACGGGACAGGATGAGTGCTGCCTGTGCCCGGCCTCTTGCTCACGGCCACATCTCAGTGATGTCACACTGCTGTGTGTGGCACCGCACTACCTCTCCCTCTTCGTTGCTATATAGCATTCCATTCTTTAAATTGTCCAGACTCATCTATCCACCTATGATTTACCATGGACATCAAACCCAGGTGCTTCTGACAACTGGAATACTGTTATGTGGCTAGGGACAACAGGGGAAGGACAATGGGCTGACACCGGAAAGGATGGAGGACATCTTAGTGAACCCTGTGTTCATAGACCAGTGGCCCCTGGGCCACACAAATGGCATCAAAGCTAGCAGCTTCCGATATGTGAAAAGAGCCTCTGGGACAGACACAGAGTTCATCTGCTCCCTATAGGGACTTTTCTAAGTCCTCCAAAAGATAGCTCTGTGGGGTTAGGGAACCACCAGGGATCAGTGGAGGGGCCTGTTACGCGGCTGGGATTTTTCTGCCCCATCACTTGTGGCTGACATCCTGTGGTATTCTGTCATAATAAACCTGGGAGTCAGTAAGCCATCTCAGTCTCTTGGGCCTTTGTCACTTAGGTCAGCACACAGGCAGCAGTGGCCTCTGTGCAATGGCTCCCGGTAGCAGTGTAATAGTGAAAACCTGGAAAGCACCTTGATGCCCAGTCAGATTCTTTGGTAACGATACAGCTGTAAGCCAGACCAGGGAGGGCTACATATAGGACCAACACAAGATGGGGTGGACGTGGTGGGGGCAGAGTGAGCAGATGGCCTATATGACTGAGTGTATGGTGGGAGGCTACAGACACCTGACCACACTTTGTTTTTGTTGTTTTGTTTTGTTTGAGACAGGGTTTCTCTGTGTAGCTTTGGAGCCCTGTCCTGGTCTACTCATTCTGTAGACCAGGCTGGCCTCAAACTCACAGAGATCCACCTGGCTCTGCCTCCTGAGTGCTGGGATTAAAGGCGTGTGCCAATGCCACCTGGCCTGACCACACTTTTGTAATGAAGTTTTGTTGCTTTACTATGACTCCTTTTTTTCTAAAATGAAGAATAAAAGCAACTGGACATAGCGTTGTGTAACTGTAATTCTAGCTAAGGCAGGAGGACCAAGAATTTGAGGCCAGCCTGGACTACATAGAGAAAAACTGTCTTGAAAAATGTTTTAATAAACTGTCCAGAAAGTCCAGACGTCCGAGCTTCTCACAGCAGGGCACCCACACACGCGCATGTCAAATCACTTTAGTACAGATCTAACAAGTCAACACAGACGCAGAGACTAGGAAGGGTCATGGGGGCTGTGGGTGGAGAAAGTGGGGGTGCTAGCTAAAGGTCACAGGCCTTAGCTAAAGTCTCACTGTGCACAACAGTGACTGGTGACGACAGCTACCAGCCCTGTACCAGATGTCTAAAACTGACTAAGATACTAGGTCCTAGAAAGTGATGGACAGGCCAGCTGTAGAGCAGAGGCCACTTCAACATGTACATGTCAGACCTTCAAGCTGTCACACTAAGAAGCAAAGACTTCTAAAGCACCTTTTTTAAATTCCTAGCCCTAGACAGGTTTCAAAAGGGTCACCAGAATAAAACTCAAGAGGATCCTATACTAATACTCAAGACTCTGGAATTGTCTCAGCAGCCTCAGCAACATCCCTGGGTGTTCAGTTTCAGCTGAGCCCTGGGCCTGGGCCTGGGCCTGGGCCTGGACGCTGCATCTTCCCCTCAGAGCTCAGAAACCACACTTGTTTTGCATCCAGCGAAACGGAAGCTAATAACAAGGGAAACTATGCAGAGAGAATGAATTAGCCCCATCTGTCAGACTGCAGGCAGGGGAAGGAGAAGGTGTCTGTGGCGGCAGCACCATCTAGCGGCCACTGCTGAGGTCACCACACGGCAGTTCTCCAGACCCCATACAAGGGCTACCCCTTTTTACCTACCAGACCCTTTTCCAAACTTGTCCCAGGAACTCAGTACCTGCCTTTGTCCAGGTATTCCACCATTTCTGTCGCTTCCGAGGGCAGGACCTGGACTCTGCTGCATTTGGAGTAAGTAAGCTAGCACAGAATGATGTCAGGCTGGCTCAGTCCCAGCACTGATAAGGGTCTGGGCTAAGTGATGCTCTACTGAAGGTCTGTTCTGGGTACCTCAAGATGTTTAGCAGCCCCTCTGTACTTGGAAGGACTATGGCAACCAAGACTAGCTCCAGATGCCAGCAGTGCACCCAGGAAATACCAGCAGCCCATTGAGGACCACTGAGCTCATTTCCTCTATTCTGGACTTGATAGAATGGCTACTTTGGGCCCATGACTCAAACCTTCTTGGAGTTACAATGAGAGAGAGCCCTGTGAACCCTGCCTCCCAGGGTGGTTGTTACAGATGAATAAACTGAGCTTATTGAGGGCAGGCCTGAGTCAAACTCTTGCTCTTTGGGCAGCAAAACTGAAGCAGAGAGGTAGAAGTAAAACCTCTCTGGCCTCCTCCAGTGCTCTGAAAAGTGTTGGCTGGAGTGCATGGACCAGAGTCCCGTCTATGGACTACTCAGCCATTAGGTCTTCAAAACTGAGCCATACAGAGGGAACGCGCGCGCGCGCGCGCGCACACACACACACACACACACACACACACACACACACACACACCCGCCCCAGATTCACTCAGCAGAGAAGAACCCTCTCTTAGTCCTTCAGAGAGCCCTAGCACACTCCCAGACTGCAGCTGTCACTTCCGGTGTTCCCGAAGGTGACGACAGGCTTTCCAGAGCAGCTAAGGTTGAAGGATGTTGCAAGGCGGGGTCCAACCCTGACAAGTGAGTGCCCCACGGGAGTCGGAGAGCAAAGGTTAAGCTCTCTCTTGACCTCACTTCTCACAGGAGGGCCAGGTACAGTGAGAAGGTAGTTAAGGTCTAATGTGTCCCCAAAGGTTCATCCTAGCCTCTGTTCCTGAATTGAGGCGTGAGGTGTTAGGAGGTAGGGCTTAGCGAGTGGTATTTAGGTGATGGGGTGAAGCTGTCTCGAGTGGGTCCACATCTTTCTCAACATGAGTCTCCCTCTCCTGGCTCTGAACTAGTCAGTTACCTTAAGAGCAAGTTACTGTGGGCTTGCAAAATGGCTCAGCAAGTAAAGGTGCTTGCCACCAAGCCTGATAACCTGAATTCAATCCTGGGACCCACAGGGTAGAAGGAGAGAACTGATTCCCATAAGTTATTCACTGACTTCTACATGTACTCTGTGTTATGTGCATGTACACATACATTCAAGTGCACACAAATAAATAAATGTGATAAAACTTTTAAAAGAAACACTTGAAGCTTTGCAATGTAGGGAATTACCTATACTCTAAAGCTCACAATTAAAAATAAAATCAGGATACTATGTGATTAATAAGCAAATATTTGGTCCCTTTCACAGCCTTTCTGCCCTGAGTTGAAACGGCAGAAGGCCCTCACAAGGTATGGATGCCTAATTTTAAAATTCTTGGCCTTCAAAATCTTAAGTCAAAATAAAGCTCATTCCTTTAAATGACCTAGTTTCTCATGTCTGGAGAGATGACTCAGTGGTTAAGTGTACTGGCTGTTCTTCCAGAGGACCTGGATTTGATTCCCAGCACCCACATGGTGGCTCATAACCATCTTTAACTCCAGTTCCAGGGTATCTGATGCCCTCTTCTGGCCTCCACAGGCATCAGACACTCAAATGGGACACAGATATACGTGCAGGCAAAATACCCATGCACATAAGAAATAAAAAGATTTTTTAACTACCTAGTTATAGTAACAGAAAACAGACTGAGACAGTAGCTGTCTACAAGCTAAGAAGAAAGCCCTGACTTCAACTTCAAATTGGACATCTATCCCCCAGAACAGTAAGCAAACCCATTTCTACTGTCCAAGCCGCTAAGCCCACTGGGGTAGCCCGGGCAGACTGAAATACTCAGGAAGCAGACATACGAAACCACCTGTCACCTGACACTACACAGCAAATGGCAAACAGTATCCTTACAGAGCGACGTCTCGTGGCTGATGTTCTCAAAGAGAATATTCAAGGTTTGTAACAGCTGGACACACACATAACGACCCGATTTCTGCCGCAGAATGTTCAAGAAGAAAACAAACATATTCTTCTCCAGGAAGAAGCTGGGGAGAGAACAAGAAAGGGTCAGTGGGTGGATATACTCACAGCTCATATATGTAGGCTCGCCCTATATGGCCACCAGTAGCAAGATTAGACTGCAAAGTCTCAGTGCCCATGATGCCACCTGCAACTGAGGACAACACATGGCCTTCTGACTGTCTCTCTTCCTGTCTCAGCATATGAGGTCAGTGCTGGTTCCATGAAACAGAATGGGGATGCTCTTTACCTGCTAAGTGATCACACAGCATCCTATGCTGGTGTACCCTACAAGCATCGTTCCCCAGCACATACACAACCTGTATCCTTAGCTTCCCCGACAAAACCTATTTCCTTTGCACTCCCATATTCAAGGGCAGGAAAACACAAGAACTGGGTTTCCTTGCAGGGCCCAAAGATGCTGAGTGACAGCAGAGCTTCTCACTTCTGTTGTCAAATTTGCAGCTTTCCTACCTCTCTTCAAAGAACTTGAAGAAAGGTGAAGGTGTTGATGTGGAGGGACCCTACAGAGCCCCCACATCTGCTTCTGCCTTTCTTGTGTTGGAAGGGCATGTGCCTACACATGGCCAGGGGCATTGACCTGGGGCTGTGTGGTGGTACATGTGAAAAATAGGATCTTCAGTGCCCTTCCTTTAAGAAAGATGTTGTTTCTATTTATTTGTTCAGTGTATTTGAGCAAAATCAGTTTGGAATAGTCAGAAGAAATGTCAGCAATCCAAGGCTGGGGATACGGTTCAATTGGTAGAGTGCTTGCCCAGCATCACATAAGGCAGGTGTCCAGGCACACACTTATATAATCCCAGCACTTGGACAGTGGAGGCAGAAGAATCAGAAGTTCAAAATCATCTTGGCTACATTGTAAGTTCAAAGCTAGCCTGGAATATAGGAGACCCTGCCTGTGAAAAGGAAAAGAGACAAAGAGAAGGGAAGGCAGGGGAGGGGAGGGGAAGGGAGAATAGAGAAAGAGTCCTGTAGTCACATGAGTCCCCTGGGTGGCTCAATTCTAGCTGCCTCTTCCCCTCAACTGTCAGCCAGTGGCTTGACACTCACTGCCACATAGTTCTGCTTAAATCCACAAAAGGATAAGTGAATGATAAAATATGTTCTTAAAAAACAAACAACTAAATTCTTTTCCCACTTTGACTCCAAGATCCCATCTGCCTGTAGACACTGCTCCTACTGACCCCCAGAGCCTTTCTGGCATCTGACCTACTTTGTCTGCCTCTGCTTTCGGTTATACAGAGCAGTGACTCGCTAGAGTCATCAGCACACTCAATGGCCAGTGGGGGAAGCCACCAGACATCTGTGCCTATATTTTGTGAAGGGGTGACTTAGTAGATCTGGTGTGAAACTCTCAAGGCTAGGTGCTTTTTATCTTTGTGTGTATGATGTATGTCTGTGTTGGGGCATGTATATACATGGCAATAATGTGGAAGTCAGTGGAAGGCTTTGGACATTGGTCCTCTCCTACCGTGTATGAGACAGAGTGTCATTGCTGCTGCATTTATCGGGCTACCTAGCCCACCTTCCATCTTCCAGGCACTCTCTTGTTTCTGCCTCCCATCTCACCATACAGGTGCTAGGGTTACAAACGTGCTATCACACACACTGTTACATAAGTTCTGGGGATTCAAATTCATGCTTGTATGGCAAGCATCTTTCCAGCTTCAAGGCTGGATTTTCGAAAAATTCTTAGGGGAATGGGAGAATACTTGGGAAAATGGTTGAGTCTAGGCCATCAAAACTATAAAATGAGGGCTGGAGAGATGGCTCAGAGGTTAAGAGCACTGGCTGCTCTACCAGAGGTCCTGAGTTCTATTCCCAGCAACCACATGGTGGCTCACAGCCATCCGTGATGAGATCCGGTGCCCTCTTCTGGCCTGCAGGGATACATGCAGATAGAATAAATAAATAATAAAATAAATAAATAAATAACTATAAAATGAGTCTGGAGTATCTTACAGTACCAGGAAATAAGGCAATGTTCAAAAAGCAAGGGACAAAGGAGCCAACAGGGCAAAGGCCCTAGTGCCCAAAGCTAGCACAGCTGAGTAACAAATAGTCCTGGGTCCTCACCTAAAGTAAAACTAAACTTGAAGCACTTAGCACTTCTTTTTTTTCCTTTTGAACCAGGGTCTCTAAGCTCAGGATGACCTTGAACTCAGGACTTTTCTATCATGGCTTCCTGAGAGCTAGGGTTACAGGTGTGCATCACACTAGCACACCTGTTGCCCAGAAGTCTTTCTAAGATGACAAATAGGCTCCATTCTAGAAAGAAGGGGTCAGGACACAGTCTCTAATCTTTAACCTGAGGGCTTTTCTCATTTCAACAACAAATAAATAAGAAATTCTTAGTGGGCCTGTAAAAGGAACCCCTCTCATTTCTAAACCACACTGTACTCTAGGTGCCCATGCTTTCCTTCAGGGATCATGGTGGGTCTCAGGCTCACACTTAAGAAGTCTGTGTTTTCCACAGAGAGCTGTCCTGCAAACAAGTCAAGTTAACTTATAAGAAGCCGGGCTGGGAAGGCAGCTCAGTGGGTAAGTGCTTGCCACACAAGAAAGAGGACCTGAGCCTGAATCCCTAGGAGTTACATAAGAGCCAGATGGGGGAGTGTGCACCTTTAACCTCAGAGCTCCTACAGTGAGGGGCAGCAGACAGAATTCTATGGAAGCTCAAGGGTCCGCAAGCCTGGCAGACACAGCAGTGGAAGGCAAGAACCCGCCCTCGAGGTTGGCCCCTGACTTTCACATATGTACCATGACACGTGTACTCACACTCACTACCCCCATCCCAGCACACACATATAAAATCTGTGTTCTTGGCTGTCATAACCCAATATCAAATCCTTTTACATTAAGACTTCAACACAGGTACAGAGGAACCCTGATTTCCAGCCTAAAAAGCTGTCCAATGGGAACACCTCTGTCTATCACGTGTATCATCCATGAGGCCTGTATGCTGTCAGGTACTAGACAGGGAGCATTTTCTCTCTTTTTTAAAAAAATACTTTATTATTATTTATTTATGTGTACATGTGTATTTGTCCGTATATGTGCATGTATCTAAGGTTAGGGCCATCCCCTGAATCTGGAGTTACAAGCAGTTGTAAGCTGCCTGATGTGGGTGCTAGGAATTGAACTCGGGTCCGCTGTAAGAACAATACATGTTCTTAACCACTGAACCATCTCTCCAGCCCCCTTTTCTATCTTTTTTAAAGACAAGGAAACTGAAGCTCAGGAAGGCAAATGGCCTGGCCTAAGCCTGCTGGTCTACTATAAGGATGGGAAGAAACTTCTTTGTGGACTCTGGGTAAGACAGGCTCCCTCACTGTCTACCAGCTACATATGAGGACACCAACAGGGCTTACACGTGGGCCGGGGATGGGGTGGAGAGATTTGTCCTCTCAAAACTCAGCACTGTTGCCCACCTTCAGTCAACACACTAGAGGCTGGGGAGATGGCTCAGTGGATATAGGGCTTGCCTCAAAAGCATGAGTTCAGATCCCTAGAACCCACATGAAACCTGGTGGGTATGGCAGCCTGCTTGTAATTCAGGCCCTCAGGAAGCAGAGACAGGGGATCCCAAGGACAAGCTGGGTAGTTAGTCTAGATCACTGGTTCTCAACCTTCCTAGCGCTGTGACCTTTCAACACAGTTCCTCATGTTGTGCTGACCCCCAATCACAAAATTATTTTCATTGCTACTTCATAACTGCAATTTTGCTACTGTATGAAAGTATGTACTCTCTGTTTTCCAATGGTCTTAGGTGACCCCTGTGAAAGGGTCAGTTGATCCCCAAAGGCTCATAATCACAGGTTGAGAACCACTGGTCTAGACTGAATTAACAAGCTTTGGGTTCAGCAAGGGACCTTGTTTTAGTAAATTAAGTGGAGAGTGATGGGAGGTCGAAACTGACACCAACCTCTCATCTCCACACACATGCACATGAGTGTGCACACATGCATATACCCACCTACATATATGCCCACACATGTTCCAACATGCATACACACCACATATACACACACGCAAAGCAATAAGTAAAATAAAATAAACACCCTAAGTGCTGGCCCTCGGCAACTCCCTTGGGGCAGGACCTTTCTGTTCATTTGGAACCTAACTGTCTGGGACATTCCTCATGCCATGGAGTAGACAACAGGGTACAACTTGGAATGCAATCTACAACATCTTCAGTTTTTCTAAAGAAGCTCAATTCCATAGTTCTTCCATTTTTAGCTTATACCTCTACAGTCTCTCAAGGACATTTGTTAGAGATATTTAGGCAAGATGGAATTAGCCAGTTCCTGACTCATAGTGTGCACTTGGGAAAACACTCAAAGGAAGAGGAAGGATTGGAAAACAAAAGCACTACAAGCCTTACTCAAATACAGAGCTGTCATTTTGATCGCCCCAAATCAGGATCTCAGTGATGGAACGGATGGTCTCCACCAGCAGGTTCCGGTTCTGTTCTGTGACGGTGGTGTTTTTGGTTAAAACATGGTAGAGGTACCTAGAAGAAAGGGAAGAAACAAGAGCTTACACAAACTGAGCTGAAAGCCAGGCCCAAGGGCCACTGGCCACACTCATAGCACAGCCTTTACTTTCTGTCAGCACAATTTCCCATTCAGAGGACACAGAAGTCAGCACCCAAGAAAAATGGCAGAAGGAGCTCTGAAGCATTACATGCCAGGGAGACATCTGCCCAAACTGAGGCAAGAGCACTGCCAAGCCCTGAAACCAGCACCTGAAAACTTTAGGGTGCAAGAGAACCACAGACTGGCAAAATCAGAGGCTTCTGGGGCACACGTGGGGATTCCATTTTTAGAACCGAAGGAAGAGAAAGCGTGGCATGCCTCACAGTCCACAGTGACGGATGCCAAGAGCGACAGTAGTCAGTGCCAAGCACCTGACATAGGACTCAAAGCAAGACCGGCACTGAGATTCCAGGAGACGGAGTCATAGTTCAGGGACAGTGGACCCCACATCAGAGCCTAGGCACTCAGCACTACTTTTGGAATGCCTATAGTTCCTCTCTAGTGCAGCGCACCCATGGAAACCAGGACTCAAAGTGGGACGGAATGAGCAACTCTTGTCTTGTCCAAGGGGAAAAACTCCTCTGCTAAAATCTAGAGTGAAGTGGGTGGGTGGAGTAATTAGACCTAGCTTCTCCCAGCAGGGGTGGCGGCTTCTTCTTCTTCTTCTTCTTCTTCTTCCTCCTCCTCCTCCTCCTCCTCCTCCTCCTCCTCCTCCTCCTCCTCCTCCTCCTCCTCCTTCTTCTTCTTCTTCTTCTTCTCCTTCTCCTCCTTCTCCTCCTTCTCCTTCTTCTCCTTCTTCTCCTTCTTCTCCTTCTTTTCCTCCTCCTCCTCCTCCTCCTCCTCCTCCTCCTCCTCCTCCTCCTCCTTCTTTTTTGGAGCTGAGGACCGAACCCAGGGCCTTGCATTTGTTAGGCAAGCACTCTACCACTGAGCTAAATCCCCAACCCCAGGGCTGGCTTCTTATAGTAACATTGTGGTTGTCTGTTAAGTTTTAAGAACAGCCTCAAGTGTTTCCTGTTCTGTGTTCTCACTATGCTGGGGAATAAACCTACAGCCTAAGACATGCTAGCTAGACAAGGCTCTGTCACCAAGTCACAACCTCCACCTCCCCGTTTTTCATCAGTATATTTTATTTTGAGACAGGATCTAAGTTATTTGACCCAACTGGCCTTGAACTGGCTCTGTAGCCCAGGAAACCTAGAACTTGTGATCTTCTCATCTCAGCTCCCATGCGAGTGGGATTACAGCCATATCCGGCCTGCACTCACCAAGCAGCAAAGCTCTCCAAAAAGATAGGTCATGCAACCCTGGAACCCAAGTCCACCCACAGTGCTGCACAGGAGGAGGACACAAGGCCCACTCTCCTCTACACTAAAGAACCTGAACAGCCCTGGGACACACTGTAGGACCTAGTTACAAATCTGTGTCCACTGTGATTCCAGTACAGACCCTCCACAAGGCGCAAGGAACACTTTTCCAAATTGGGGTTCACAGGCCTCCTGCACCTGCCTCATCTGTTTAAGCCGTTCCTATGCAGCCCCACTGAATTAGGCTACTGGGTGAATGGGTTAAAATGATGAGTCCATGTGCATATGCGTGTGTTGCTGAGGATCAAACCCAGGGCCTCACATATGCTAAGCCCATGCTTTACAACTGAGCTATATATCCTGTGCCCCCCCCTGAAAAGTTTGATGGCTGCTATACCACTCCCACTGTGGCCATCAGTGACACTCTCCACACAGTCCACACAAGAACTGACACTCCCAGGGACAAGGTAATGCCCGAGTGTAGGTCAGGGAGGAGCAGATTCTTCCCACTCTGGAGATAGAACATACATATCCAGGAAGATAACATACATGCAGTGGCATCACTCATCACACTCCTGGCTCACTGGGAAGCAGCAACATGGGTGAGTACATCTACTCTGAGGGCCTTCAACTACAGTCGACAGGGTTCAACTTCAACTGAGTGGGCTGTCTGAACAGACTGCCCTTGCTGCCTTATCAGTCAGCAACTGTTGCTCATATTCAAGGCTCAAGCTACCATCTCTAAATGAAGCTTTCTTTGGAGAGGGCTTTTTCACTCCCAACCTCTACCCCCCATGGACCTGGCTGCCCCTCCTCACTGGCACCTCTATCCTCTGTGAAGCACTTGCTAACCCAGCTGGCCTTGAACTGGCTCTGTAGCCCAGGTAAACCAGAACTTATGATCTTCTCATCTCAGTCCTGCTACTTCACAGAGCAGTGTGTTCTCAATGGTTGGTCTCTCTGACTAGACTGGAACCTCCGGGTCAGTCAAACCATCTTAATGATCTCGGTGACTCCAATACACTCCAGAATAGCAGGTACACAGCAAGTGCTATCTGTATAAATGCTGAATGAGGCAGAGGCAGTCTCCACTAATATAAGCTGGAATATAGTATACAAGACTAGGTAAAGTAAAGGTTCAAGTTATAGCACAGAGCTGTGATAAAGAGCTCATCAGGCCTTGGAATGCAACAATCTTGGGTTTGACCCCTGGCCCTGGCACCTCCTAGGTGTAGTCGAGGACAGGCATTTCACCTCACCTCTCTGCAGCTCTGTCTAAACATAGTAATAACCACAAAGGATATGAACAGCCAAGCATGGTGCCAGTGAGGAGGGGCAGCCAGGTCCATGGGGGGTAGAGGTTGGGAGTGAAAAAGCCCTCTCCAAAGAAAGCTTCATTTAGAGATGGTAGCTTGAGCCTTGAATATGAGCAACAGTTGCTGACTGATAAGGCAGCAAGGGCAGTCTGTTCAGACAGCCCACTCAGTTGAAGTTGAACCCTGTCGACTGTAGTTGAAGGCCCTCAGAGTAGATGTACTCACCCATGTTGCTGCTTCCCAGTGAGCCAGGAGTGTGATGTGTGATGCCACTGCATGTATGTTATCTTCCTGGATACGAGGTGCACAACACATAAGAAGCCTTAGCTGTTACTGTTATACTATGGTCATTAAGATGGGGGGTGTTGTGAACATCCTTATTAGATTGTACAATACCAGAGACTTTGGAAGGTGATATCAGGCTGGTCCCAAATAGTCAGGGAAAGAGGACCGCAAGGAAAAAAATGAGGTGGAAAGGTCCAAGGAACTTAGAGCAGGAAGTAGAGCTTGTGGGTCACTTCTGGAGAAGCAGTAAAGTATGTGGGGTATCACAGACACCCACATTAGCATACCTTGTGATATCTCCATTACTAATAACTCAGTGATCCATACAGGCTACTTCATCTTTCTGTACCTTACCGACCTCCCCTGTAAGAAGGAAGCACCTGTCATTATGGTGGCACTGGAAAGAGAAGATAAGAGATAACTAAGCTTGGTGGCATTGGAAAGAGAAGATAAGTAAAAAGAGGGATAACTAAGCTGGGTGTGGTATACACATCTGTAATCCCAGCACTAGGGAGCTGAGGTAGGAGAACTACTTTGAATTCAAGACCAGCCTGGATGAACTACACAGTGATACCTTCTCTCAAAAATTTAAAAGAAATTCCAGCATCAGGAGGCAGAGTCAGGTGTATCTCTGTGAGTTCCAGGCCAACCAGGGTTACATAATGAGACCCTGTCCTGTCTAAAGGGGAAGAGGGTACTAAAGTGCTAGTTTTTATCATAATGGCTTCTTTTGCTATGTAATAACTTTTTTAAAAAGTTCTATTATGGCTGGAGAGATGGCTCAGTGGTTAAGAGCACCGTCTGCTCTTCCAGAGGTCCTGAGTTCAATTCCCAGCAACCACATGGTGGCTCACAACCATCTGTGATGAGATCTGGTGCCCTCTTCTGGCCTGCAGGGACACATGCAGGCAGAATACTGTATAATAATAAATAAATAAATAAATAAATAAATAAATAAATAAATAAATAAATAAATAAATAAATAAATAAATAAAAAAGTTCTATTAGCTCGCCAGGCAGTGGTGACACACACCTTTAATCCCAGCACTCGGGAGGCAGAGGCAGGCAGATCTCTGTGAGTTTGAGGCCAGCGTGGGCTACACAATGAGTTCCAGGAAAAGCCCCAAAGCTACAGAGAGAAACCCTGTCTTAAAAACAACAACAACAACAACAAAAAGTTCTACTAGAGAACTTTTCTCATCTGGACAGATGGTGCACCCACAGTGAGCCAATGATCACCTAATAAAGATTCCAACACCAGACATGAGAAGCCCTCTTTGAGTTGTTGGCCAGGGCAATCCAAGAGACTCCTAAAACATACAGCCTATTACTGTTGCCCTTGGTTATCCCCAGAGGTACAAGGTAAGTTCCTATTGCTGAAGATACCACGCACTTCAGAAACAGGGTCCAAAGACCCCTAAGCTGGAACTGACCTGAATGCTTCCTCCCTGAGAACTAGCTCTCATGGTATCAGAAGGCAAAGGAGGGAGACAACCAACAGTCCTATCAGCTATAAGGCCTATGAACCACATCAACAACTAGCATGTCATGATAACCCTAAGGGTGTAGTAGTGGCACACACACCTTGGTGGTAACCAACAGCTCTCCAATAGGACTATACCTGCTCAGCAAGAGGGAGACCATGCTTGGTACTGGAAACCTAGCTAACTAATCAGTGCTAGTTAACTCATGGTTATTGGAGAATCTACAGACACTAATTTATTAAACCAGCACAATCCCTAACAATCTATTAGCATTTGTCCTTATACCCACAGATAAGTGTAGTCTTCACCTCTCATCAAGTAAATGTCTCTTTGCAACAGAGGAGACCACTACACAAAATCACATCAAAATGCAGAGCACAGTCCCAACAGATATATCAACAAAACATTCCTATAGCTAAGGCTCATTGAATATTACAGAAGAGGGGGTGGAAAGAGTTTAAGACTCAAGAGGATCAGGGAGTTTGCTGTGAGGCTGTGTCTCCTAATGTGGTAGTTTGAATGCAATTGGCCCCCATAATCTCATAGGGAGTGGCACTATTAGGAGGTATGGCTTTGTTGGAGT